TACCTCCTCATCCCCTCCCCCCCCCTCCCCGCCCAGGTCTGGCTGTGTGAAGGTATTCGTGGTGTGGAACATCGCAGACAACAGCGCCCTGTTCTCACTCACTAGACAGCTACAGAGGGACGGACTCACCGTCTTTGGCAAGACCTGGGACATTCGCTTCGATGAATGCAAACGTGAGAGATTGGGACTTAGTTTTGAGAATTAGATCTATTGCCGAAGCTTTTACTCCTGTGTCTTTCTGTTTCTCTGTCTGTTTCTCTGTCTGTCTGTCTGTCTCCCTCTCTCTTCCACAAATACATACACACACACTCACAGACACAGAAACAGACACACACATACACACACTTACATACACTCAAACACATACACACACACACACCCATACTGAATATACTCACTCTCTCTCTCTCTCTCTCTCTCTCTCTCTCTCTCTCTCTCTCTCTCTGTTATAATTTTAGAAAATATGAAAGTCAAGTGTGTTCAAAGTTTTAATGAATTTCCGAAGTATCATCCGTCTTCTTCAAATACAGTTGTTGCCACAGACTTTAAAAAATATACATTTATACTGTATACGACCAAGGCAAATAAATGTGTTGATTTAACATTTTTTTTTAAAAAACCCCAAAAACCCCCAAAACTCCCAAAAAACCAAAAACAACCCCATTTTATATTAAGATACAGTCCTGAGCGAAATATAATGCAGGTTTTTGCGTCTCCTGAAACCTCGTGTTTTGATGTACGACATAATATGATGAAAGACGGCGACTATTTCAAAGGCAGCGTTTGATCTTTGTCTATCTCAGCCGCCGCCACCCTGCCACCACCAGACACTGAAGTCATCAACTTCGAGATGCACGTACCTGACCTTGACCCTATGTCAAGGCCGTCGCTTATGAACGTCACATCTGCAGACTACACGGAGCTCAATGCAGCGGTAAGTTGTTGCCAGTGTCCGACTCGTAGTTTGGTTGTAGGTTTAGACTTAGTTTCAGTAAGAGTTTTACAGCACTTGCAACACGAAAAGGACATCATCATCATCATCATCACCATCATCATCATCTTCATCATCATCATCATCATCATCATCATCATCATCATCATCATCATCATCATCACCCTGGATCAGGATATAGGCCACGAACAAAACACTTTCCACCTTTCCCTATCGTGGGCTAGTCGCTTGATGTCACTCCATGTCTTCCCACTTTTCTGTACGAAAAGTATAGTGCTTACTTTTAGATCTAGATTGGTATTAGAGGGTTTAAAATAATAATAATAATAATTATTAAATTATTATTATTATCATTATTATTATTATTATTACATTTTGGCATTTTTACTTGTCTATCGACCGACACAATTTCGTAAGTAAGTTTATTCAGTGTTTAAGGCCATTGGCCCACATCACAACACAAAAAACACTCATTTGATAAGTAAAGTTTCCATAATGAATAAGTACAGGTTGTGCACATATCTCTTATCATGAGTCAAACATTGCATATTGTTTCTGTCACTGGGCCGAGTCAGGCTCGGAGGAATTAACAATTTCCTTTGATGGACGAAGTGCGGACAATAGAAAATAAAGTGAAATTCATCTTCAATTTCATGAGAGTTACACCTCTCACATAAGGGTGAATTAATTAATTTCCATAGATAGAGATTGTTATTTAATGGAAGGTTGTGGGTTTTTAACAAAGCTATAACTCTTCTGCTCCAATACCGTGGGAGGTTGGTGATATATTCAGCTGTTTCTTGAAACGCAATTGTAAGAGAGGAAACATTAGACTTGCGACAGATTTCTATGTTCTGCACAGAATGATTAACAAGTCTAATTTTTACTTCACTGAGAAAGAGTCTAGTACTTCCAACATTTTGAGAAAACCAGGCATATCCAAAACCCAGGGGACGGACACTATTTCAATCACATAGGAGGCACGCTTAGGCTTCCAACCCTGCCTGTCAAGGCTAACCTCAGCTGAGACCGATACAACATCTCAACAGAAAGACCGAGATACTCAGTAGGAAAAATATTCTCCCAGTTCGAGAATTGAACTGCAATCTCCTGCGTGTGACAGCTAAACGCGTAACCTCAACACCACAGACGCCGGTTTAGTATTAGTTTTAGTTAGAGTTTTACGGCGTTTGCAAGACAAATAGATGAATTAAGTGCCCAAGATCAGAGGGTGTTACTAGAGAGTAATATATTATAAAGAAAAGAAGGAAGAGGGATAAGGACGATAGATATGTGATATGTTTTCGTTTTAGTAAAGTTTTTACGGCGCTCGCAACTGCATAAATAAGGTCATTTGAGCACCAATGATATTTGATAAAGTCCAGAGTGCATCTGTAAAAGCAGGTGAAGCACACACTGTTACTTCTGAAAAATCAACCATAGTTCAATGAGTGAAAATTCATGAATTTAAAAATAAAACCATTCACTAATATTACCCAAGGCGGAATAAGTTATTACTTCATTTTTTCTTCCACGCTACATTTTGTCTGTTTATTCATTTCTTTTATCTCTCCATTTCTGCAGATTGTATCGTTCTTCTCGCAATACGGAGGGGAAATTGAGGATGTCAACGTGAGCGATGGGTGAGTTGTTTAAGGGTGAGGGTGATTGGGTGTCTACGTGAGTGATGGGTGAGTTGTTTAAGGGTGAGGGTGTGTACGTGAGCGGTGGGTGAGTTGTTTAAGTGTGAGGGTGTTTGGGTGTTTGTGTGTGTGTTTGTGTGTTTGTGTGTGTGTGTATGTGTTTGTGTTTGTGTTTGTGTGTAAGTTGTGTGTGTGTGTGTGTGTGTTTGTGTGTAAGTTGTGTGTGTGTTTGTGTTTGTGTGTATGTGTGTGTATGGTTGTGTGTGTGTTTGTTTTTGTGTATGTATGTGTTTGTGTGTGTGTGTGTGTGTTTGTGTGTGTATGTGTGTGTATGTG